TGGTATTGGAATCAATGAGACGCTGTTTGCGAATGAATCCCTGTCAAGTCACATGTGGGGGTCTCTTACACACCTTGGGCGGGGGGAGATTGAGATGTGCCGATGTGTTTTGACGAGTAAGTGTGTGTGTGAGGGGGGGGGGGGGCGGGGGGGGGGGGGGGGTGGTGAGAATATGACATTAGTAATAATCAGTGTTTCTTTCAAACTTTTTTCTCCGGGGGGGGGGGGGGCACTTGAAAATTTTCGGGTGTGGGGGGGGGGGGGGGGGCGGACACTGTTAAAAATATATTTTCTATATAAATTCCATTTTGTGTTTGGAAGGGCGGTAGACTTTCTTCGAGGTGGGGGGGGGGGGGGGTTGAGCCCCCAACGAAGAAATGCCTGGAAGAAACTCTGGTAACAACCTAGTATATAATTTAAATTTTTTTCTTAGAACAATGATGATGAATAACAAGTGGTAATTAGCGTACACTTTCAAGCATTAGGGGGTTTTGTTACGTCATTTTTTAGGCGTAGGGCGTAGCTTTCATAAGGAGGTGTAGTGTGGGTAATGAAACAGGGTTAAGATCAACTGACGTCATTTACAAATGATCCTAGGGTTATGTTTTATAAAGCCAACCACATTTTTAATATTAATATGTATCTGACTTAATCTATAAAATATGGTTTCTTTCAGGAATTTTTCTCCTGGGGAAAAATGGGTGGCGGGGGGCATTTCACTTAAACCATTTGTGGAAGGGGGAGGGGCGGATGCTAGTTAAAAAATATATTATCTTTCAAAATTATATATTTTTTTCATTTTGTTAGGTGGGTGGTAGACGTGTTCCAATTATGCCCCCCCCCCCCCCATCATTATTAACATTCACGAAACAATGTCTTGGGCAAGGAGCCAGTTGTCAGTAGTGTTCCACGAATCCTCTTTGAAGAAATAACCAAGTAAATGAAGTGGCCACGAAGATTGTGGATGTGGGTGGGGGGGGTGGTGGGGTGAAGGGTAGGGAGTGGAATAGGGGAAGAGCTTTTGGGATGATGAATTTGCAAAAACCTGGCCACGTTCGTATGTTGGTTTTATCGGCTTACGTCTGCTGTCTCGTCCCCCCCCCCCCCCCCTGCTTCTTGTCAGATTTTAAAGCAGACGTTTCGCCGAAAGTAGCTTTTTATAATGCCGTAGTGCTAAACCTTTGTAATCGATTCCTTCCCCTCTTGATTCGCGCGCTAGAATGACACACCGATCGATACCGTGAACTCGCTGGTGAGAGCGAAACCGAACCAACTGTAATTTTGAACTCGAGGCTGGGTATCATGGGGCGCTGCTAGGGATGGTGGGGGTTCGGTTAAGGATGGCGATGGCCTTGTGGTTTGTTTTTTTTTAAACAGAGTAACAAAGGGGGGGGGGGGGGATTTTTTGTGAAAGGGGGAATAATGCGTGTTCGACATGAGGAATCAGTGGTGACACATTCAAGGGAGTGAAAAAGGAGTCGATAAATAAGGGGAGGTAATTGAATTAATCAGAAGACGGGAGAAAAGGGAGATAACATTGGAATGACAGACTGTTAAGATTTTAAGTACAAACTTGACCGTAATCTCAGATGGCAGGGATTGTAGGAGATGAAATAAATCTCTGTTGTATCATAGACATAGTTAAGTTACAATTTTTACTCAATAGAAACTTTGTTTTCTACCGTGGTACAATTTTGACATTCGAAATTATTTTTTTTTTGCTTTCCCACTATTAAAGTGTACACGTTAAACACTGTTATGTAAAACGATGTTATGTATAAAAGGATCTCTACGTTTCTTATTTTCGTGTTAAAAAAAAACCTTTGCTTTGTATAATGATGTAATTTTATCATGTCGTTCCCTTCCCCCCCCCACCCCACTATTTAAAATTAAATGTAAAACAATATTGATTATATATATATATATATATATATATATATATATATATATATATATATATATATATATATATATATATATATATATATATATATATATATATATATATATGGGACTTTTGTAAAATTTAGATTTTGGCAGTTAATGCACTAAGGTCTAACCATTTCATTCTTGAAGTAAAAAAAAAATATAAAGCTTCCCTTTTGACCTTACGATCAATAGGGGAAACGATGTACATATGAAGGGATGGTGTGGTCAGCACTATGCCCAGCATATTGATATTTTCGGTGGGGGGGGTGTCTACATTTTCCTGCTGTCCTGTGTCTGAACTGAGATCCGAACTCGAGACCTTCGGGCTAGCAGCCGAATGCTCTACCATTATTAAAGTACCTGGATAGAATTATTATAAAATAATTATTGTGATAACGTTTGTTAAATAACCACAAGCCATCAACCCAAACGCTCTAGAAATCCCCAAAAATATTTACCAACATATTTGCTTAAAAATAATAAAAAGATGGGACATTTACTTTTCTTTAAAAATATAGTTCTATCTATTTTTAGACGTAGATTTTTAAAGATGCTAATAATATATGCTTTTATTTGTCTACATACCGATACAAAACTTTTTTTACACGTTCTTAAGTTAAGTAGCCTTCTCGATCTAGATCTAAATGTTCTTTTATTTGACTTTAGGAAAAAAATTCTGCCATGTCAGTTTTTAAGTCTTAGTATAGATTTTAGCATACCGGCTAAACGTTATGGTTATAGTTAATAACCTGTTATTGGGGTTATCAACGCGGAGAGGGAAGGAGGAAGACGGAGATAATAATGCGGTTAGCTCAAGGTCTTGACCTCGCTCACGGCCTACATTCTCCGCGTGTAACATAAATAATGTTCGCGATGAGATAAGCTTACAAATAAATTCAGCTCATTTGCTGCGTATCTATTTTGATCGGTTATTTTATTTTTTATTTTTTTGGGGAGCGTTTAAGTTTAAGCCTTTGTGTGGGTTTTCTAATATGTATCATTGTTTTTATTTATTATTTAAAATCCTATATTTATGTGAAAAAAATGTAACTTGAAGGAGAGGGAATGGAAAGTGTGTGTGTGTGGGGGGGGGGGGGGGGGGGTGAGTTAGAAAAACGTGACGTAACATTTAGGCCTATACTTTGAATTTTTTTTTTGTGCCGTGCTTATTCTTTAGCCGACAGCATTTTCAAATTTCTTGCAAGCCTATCTAGGCTAAGTAATTTTTTCCCCTTAACTTTCAAACGATCCCTAATCCTGTCTAAACCTCTAACGCGACACTGTGGTGACATGGAAAACCGCGCCATTTTAAGATATCATGCAGACGATACACAGAAAGATGTGAGCTGTCGTGACCTAGTTTCTTTAAACTTATCAATGCCACTTTGAACTTTGAACTGAAAAAAAAAATCATATCGGGACAGGATCTAAATGTCTTTGAATAATTTAAATTAATAGTGTATTATTATCAACAACATTGATACATCTGTCTAAAAAAACAAATGAGAATAAATGTCTTGACAAAATATTATCTGTAGGAAACACAAAAGAAAATACTTGTTTAAAAAAAAAACCGACATCTAAACAATTTTCTTTTGCAAGTTTAAATTAAATCTATTCTCAGCTAAACTTCACTTGTATTGAGAATACTGTCGTGTTCAGTCAATTACTTCCCCTTTCCATCTTTCCATCTCATCTAAAAAAAAAAAAAAGGAAAACAGAACATAATCCATTGTAACAACAGAACAGGCATTAAGTTACTTCCCTTTAATTTCCCCCCTACAGGAGGCGCCCTTTGTGATGACAGAAACGGACAGCGAGGGGAAGACAACCTACACGGGGCTGGCGATGGACGTGCTGAAGAAGGTGGCGGAGAAGGCGGCGTTCGGCTACAACATCAAACTGGTCAACCACGATTCGTACGGCTACCAGGACTACACGGGCAAATGGAAAGGGCTCATTTCGGAGCTGGGACTGGTGGGTGGGGCGTGACGTGGGCGTGCGGTGCTAGACATGATCTCCGGGAGCAGTGTTTCCTTCAGACTTTTTTCCCGGGTGGGGGGTGGGGGGCACTTGAAACTTTTTGGGGAGGGGGGGAGGAGGGAGGGCAAGAGTAAAAACATATATTTTCTATATAAATTATATTTCATGGGGGGGTAGACGTCCTTCCGGGGGGGGGGGTGCCCTCTGAACAGATGCCTGAATGAAATACTTTCTGGGAGAGGGGGGGGGGTGGCAGTAATTGTCATCTTGCCAGTTGCCTCTCCCCTGACACAAAAAAAAAAAACTTCTGTTAAAACTAAGTATACCGCTGTTTAAAATATTCAATGATCTTTTTCAGAATCCAGACCAATTCATACTAGTGAAATATGCGATGATCTCTTTCAGAATGCAGATATAGCTGTAGGACCAATTCCAAAATCTGTGAAAGCTGAAGGCAATGAAATTGTTGACTTTACGCGACCATATATGTCCAGTGGTATCAGCTTGCTCATTAAGGTAAATATGACACAGAGTCTAGTCAAAGTTACAATTTCAAACCTGGTATCCACAGGTAGGCTTATATGCAGTAGAGTTTACCTGTTTGTGTGACCTCTGCATATGGAGGAATGCCTAGCCATCTTTACTTTCCCTAACATAAGCCTGGTGCCTGAACTCAAAACTTTCAGGTTAGCAGTTGTATGCTTAACCCTCAGACCACACTGTTCCTTATAGAACTGTGACCTACTTAGGTCGAGTCATTTTTATTTTGACATTGTATAATTCCTTATATGGAATGATGGTGTAACACCTGGGGTTTTTCCACTGACTTATTAAGGTGTTTGAGACATAGAAATTTTCCATTAAAATCTGATCGAATGATTCTGATCAGATGATTATCCCAACCAATGGCGACATGAGTTGAGGATAACCTCCCCTGTCACAGAAGTCTTTAATTGCACTGCACACTCGCAACACGAGGCAGTTTATCTTGACCTGGCAGTCTACGAGGCAGTTTTATCTTGCTCAGGCAGCCGTCCATATTGTCCGGCTATAGACTCTGACCATTTGAACGTGAGAGTACTTAAGACCTGTGTGTGCCTTGCTTTCTTAAGTGATTTAGTCTTCTAGTTTAATATTACTTGTCGCTAAGTAATTCTAGAAACTACAGCAGTGTTGTGTGGTCTGTGGCTGTTTTTTAGACAGTGTAGAAATCTGTGATAGTGTTTTTTCCTGCATTTTGTAAGTTGGGTTTTTGATACTTTATACATTAAATATTTTATATAGTTCATCTTTGTGTTCTGCCACAACTGAGTTCGCTGATTAAAAGGTCGTATGTAGATTGGATGAGTGTTAATTACAATAGTATCACTAGCTTCCCTAGACATTAATTTCGAGCCCTAGTGGGACGTTGTGTTAAGTGTTCATCCACTTAGGCCGTAAGGTATTTGCATATGACCCCGAAAAAAGAATCCGGGGACGTTCTCCTTCTATTTGGCTGATAGATAGGTTAACGTTACAAAGTGGGAGCTCGCCGAGATTTAATCTGTCGTTCCAGTTGTTGGTTCTATCAGTTGAATACTAAGGTTAGTTGGATTTAGTTGTTTTTATATCCAGTAGCGCAGTGTTCTTACAACGCGCGCAAGCATAGAGTTATCTAGGTCAATAGCCAGACGTGTTGTCCTACATTTAGAGGTCAAGTACACGGCCCAACGCTGTGTATTAATTTAAAGAATCTAGGCTTGTTGTGATTTTCAAGTTAGTGTTATGGAGTCTTTTTTGGCTAATCCTACTGTTGAAGATGTAGAAAAGTTGAGTAGAAAAGTTTTGGTTAGTGTTGTTAAGGAATTGAAATTGGATTATTCTGTTACGCAGAAGTCAGAGGTGTTGAGAGATAAAATTGTTGTTCATTTCATTAATGAAGGAGTATTTGATGAAAGTTTGTTGGCTGGTGTGTTGCTCCGCGAGGAGAAAACTCTAGAGAAGGTAGAATTAGAAGCTAGAATTGCTTTAGAGAAGGAGAAAGTTGCTCTAGAGAAGGAGAAAGTTGCTTTAGAGAAACAGGAGATAGAGGCTAAAATTGCTTTAGATAAGAGGAGGTTGGAATTAGAGTTTGGTCAAGTTAGTGATGTCACTTCTCTGGTAGATCCAAAAAAGTTGTCGGTAGGGCAAGTGATTGCCAAATTTGGGAAATTAGTTCCTAAATTTGATGAAACAGATTTGGTCGTTTTCTTTAACTCGTTTGAGAGTTTAGCGAAGACTTGTGAATGGCCCGAAACCTCCATTACTGCTTTATTGAGTTCTGTCCTTACTGGGAAAGCTGCAAAAACATACCAGGCACTCTCTCACGACGTTCAAAATAACTATAGTTTGGTCAAGACTGCCATTTTAAAGGCCTACGCACTGACGCCCGAGGCCTATCGGACAAAATTCCGAACACTCCGCAAGTTACCCACACAATCATATGTGGAATTTCTCTTTGAAAAGGAGAAAATATTCTCAAGGTGGCTACACTCTGAGGAAGTTTCTGAGTTTGAGAAACTCAGGTCACTTATCCTAAGGGAAGAATTCCTATCGTCCCTGCCTGAAGAGATACGACTACACATTCTGGATAACAAGATAACTGACATCCAGAAGGCTGCTGAGTCGGCTGACACATATATGTTGGTGCATAAGAAACCACCAGTGTCAGGAAACCGCCTCAACCCCGTGCTTCCCCTTTTTGGCAGCAATCATCCTGTTGGCCAACATTTGAAGGCATCACAGTCCAGAGAGAAACCAAGATCAACTCTCAATCGTCGAGCGGTATGCCAGTTCTGCAAAAGGCCTGGTCACCATGTCAAGGACTGTTACAAACGTCTTCAGAATAACAGGGAGGTGGTGCGTACTTCCGCGCACTATGCTCTATCCCCTCAAGCAGCCAGTTCAACTATGAACTCTAGAATTCAAAAGGACTCTAACCCTAAGTGTCCGCAAGAAGGTAGTCAAGTCTCCACACATTATGTGCAGTCACATTTTGACTGTTCTCGCCACCATCCAGTTTCTTCCGAGTCTACCGATCTCGAGAGATCGAGAAAAGTTGACTTTTCATCTTTTATTGCCGAAGCCATCATTAGCAAACCAGGTGATCCGTTGTCTCAGAAGAATATCACCGTTCTAAGAGACACAGGAGCGTCACAATCACTCCTTTTGAAAAGTTCAATGGACATTTCACCAGAGACGAACACTGGAAGGATTTCCGTTATCCAGGGAGTAGGGACGAAATCTACTGTCGTCCCTCTACACAAGTTTGCCCTGAAACATCATCTCGTCGAAGGTGAGGTCATTTTAGGTGTGATAGATAGTATTCCTGTCCCAGGAGTACACCTACTTCTAGGGAATGACCTTGCGGGAAGCAAAGTATACCCCTGTACGGTTTCAGACCCTTTGTCAACAGTTCCAGATAATGATTATGAACTGTATCCTGCATGTGCGGTGACAAGAAGCCAGACCAAACCATTGGCTGACACCACGTCTGAACCACACCCGCCATCATCGTCAAGAAATTCGACTCCCAAACTGGAGTCTATGCTTCCAGAAAACACAAGCCTGGGCTTACCCCTGAGAATATCTCAGGAAGACATCATTAAAGCTCAACAAGTCGACGCGGAACTCAAAGCAACGGTCGAAAAATCTCTATCATCTGACGATGGAGAATATTTCTCCGAGAACGGCCTCTTCTTTCGTCGCGCTATACCAGTGAATGCCTCACCAGCCGAACCATGGTTGGGTAAAAACCAGCTGTGGATCCCTCCACCTTATCGGCATGAAATACTTAAGCTGGCACATGACCATCCAATGTCAGCACACCCAGGTGTCACTAAAACGACGGCGAAGATCAAAGAACTGTTCTTTTGGCCCAAAATGAGAAAAGATGTGTCGCGTTACTGTAGAAGTTGCACGAACTGTCAGTTGGCCGGAAAGCCAAACCAGACAATTCCTAAGGCCCCTTTGAGTCCGATTCCTGTATTAGAAGAACCTTTTTCTAAAATCGTCATGGACTGTGTAGGTCCCTTGCCTAAAACCAAGGCGGGCAACGAGTACCTACTTACCTTTATGTGTTCAAGTACCCGTTTTCCCGAGGCGATTCCCTTACGGAACATTAAGGCAAAGACTGTAGTCAGAGCCATGACCCGGTTCTTCACTACCTTTGGATTACCTAGAATCGTGCAAACAGATCAAGGCAGCAACTTCACCAGTCACCATTTTCAGGAAGCACTAGCCAAGCTAGGCGTTACCCACATCACCAGCTCAGCCTACCACCCCCAGTCTCAAGGCGTACTTGAGAGGTTCCACCAAACCCTCAAAACCATGTTAAGGACATTCGCTAACAGTAACACCCAATGGGATGAGTCTGTTCCTTGGATTATTTTCGCCGCGAGGGACTGTGTCCAGGACTCTTTAGGCTACTCGCCTTTTCAACTTGTGTTTGGACATTCTGTCCGTGGCCCCCTGAAGCTGATACACGAACGTTGGACAGGTACCAGTGATCATCCAGTGGAAAACTTCGACGATTTTCACGTTCGACTGAAAGCCGTGTGCGAAATGGCTCACAAGAACTTAAGAAGGGCCCAAGTTAGAATGAAAGGACTGTATGATAAGAGTTCTTGTAAACGAACATTCAATCCAGGCGACAAAGTTCTTGTGTTAGTGCCTAATCTGAACAATGCGTTATCCCTGAGATATTGTGGACCCTTTACAGTGCATTCAAAATTAAGTGATTTGAACTATGTTGTCAATACGCCCGACAGAAGAAAGAAACAGACAGTGTATCATGTTAACTCACTGAAAAAATATTATGATAATTGTAACAATGTTCATTCCACAGCTAAAATTACTTTACCTGTATGTTCAAATGTTTCTGATGATGTGATACATGATAAATTGAAACCCCCAAAATTGGTAAATTCTTCCTTTTTAGATAATTTGAATGTCCACCTTATGCATTTGTCCACAGAGGAAAGCCATAGATTGTCTCAGTTATTCGAGACATTTCCCTCTATTTTTGGGGATGTCCCCAAAGAAGCGAAGGTTCCACCTCATGATGTAGACGTTGGTGACGCAAAACCCATTAAACAACACCCCTATAGAGTTAACCCGGAAAAAGCTGCTTTGATAAAAGATGAAATTGATTATATGCTCAAGAATGATATCATTGAGCCCAGTTTCAGCAACTGGAGTTCCCCATGTCTCATAGTACCGAAAGACGGTGGATCTTTCAGGTTTATGACCGACTTTAGGAAGGTGAATGCGCTCACCAAAGCTGATTCCTATCCCTTGCCTCGGATAGAGGACGTTATTGATAAAGTTGGTCAAGCTAAGATAATTTCCAAAATTGATTTACTTTCAGGATACTGGCAAATCCCCTTATCTGACCGTGCAAAAGAAATATCTGCTTTTGTAACCCCTAATGGTTTTTATAGATACAAACGCATGCCCTTTGGTATGCGAAATGCTGGTCAAACTTTCCAGAGAGTCATTAACTCTGTCATTGCTGACATAGACCAATGTGAGGCCTACATAGATGATATAGTTGTATTTTCTAATACTTTTGAAGAACATATTGTTCAATTGACTAACCTTTTTAGAAAATTGTCTGAAGTGAATTTTACTGTAAACTTACATAAAAGTGATTTCTGTAAAGCTTCAATTACCTATTTGGGTTACCAAGTGGGAACGAACCAAGTTCGGCCCATTGAAGCTAAAGTAGATGCTATTGTAAGGTTACCACCTCCCAAAAATTGTAAAGAGATCAAAAAGTTCCTTGGAATGGCTGGTTACTATAGGCGGTTCTGTCAAAACTTTTCAGCTATTGCTGAACCTCTTACTGCATTATTGAAAAAGGGTATTGAATTTGAATGGTCCAATAAATGTCAAGAAGCTTTTTTAACCATTAAGTCATTTTTATCAAATGCTCCTGTTATGGCTGCACCAAATTTTAGCAAGCCCTTTAAACTTGCCATTGATGCTAGCAACTTAGCCATTGGCTCAGTCCTATTTCAAGAAGACAACATGGGAATTGACCATCCCATTGCCTTTTTTTCCAGGAAGTTAAATGAGAACCAAAAGAATTATTCTACTATTGAAAAAGAAGCTTTAGCTTTGGTTTTATCATTACAACATTTTGAAGTCTATGTCTCTTCTTCAACCAATCCAGTCAGAGTGTTTTCTGACCATGATCCCCTGAAATTTACCTCTAAGTTAGGACAGACAAATCAAAGAATATTGAGATGGTGCTTATATTTCCAAAATTTTAATCTGGAAATTTCACACATTAAGGGTAGTGATAATGTTGTGGCTGATTGTTTGTCAAGGATGTAAAATCTTGTTGTACACATTGATCATGTGACATGCTTTGTGGTTCATTAGGACCATAAACAGGTTTTGTTTGAGTGTCACTCATATGAAAATGAGTGGTGTGAGTTTTGAATTTTTTTCAAAATTCCATTCCTGTTGAAAATTTTGTTTATTTTCAGGTGAACCTAAATTAAAGGTGGTTTTTGATTATATGTAATCTTTTATAATAATATGTCTTACATGACTCAGTTGATATTGTAGCTAGTCATTGAAATAAAGGTCTTACCCTGGCGGGTTTACCACTTTTAATATCCTCATGGAACTATTGTAATACCTTTTTTTTGAGGGATTTTGATGTATAATTACTTTTTGAAGGGTTACTCCCCTTTCACCAATTGTAAAAGTTGGAGTTACTTCCCTTTTATGTTCAGGGATATTTTCATATGGTATTATGATTTTGATTGCCTACATTTGTAAAACATTTTTGTTATTTCATTGCCAGATTGGTTCCTTATGTATGTTTTTGTGGAACCTATCTGTCACTTCCAAAAAGGGAGGGGATGTGACCTACTTAGGTCGAGTCATTTTTATTTTGACATTGTATAATTCCTTATATGGAATGATGGTGTAACACCTGGGGTTTTTCCACTGACTTATTAAGGTGTTTGAGACATAGAAATTTTCCATTAAAATCTGATCGAATGATTCTGATCAGATGATTATCCCAACCAATGGCGACATGAGTTGAGGATAACCTCCCCTGTCACAGAAGTCTTTAATTGCACTGCACACTCGCAACACGAGGCAGTTTATCTTGACCTGGCAGTCTACGAGGCAGTTTTATCTTGCTCAGGCAGCCGTCCATATTGTCCGGCTATAGACTCTGACCATTTGAACGTGAGAGTACTTAAGACCTGTGTGTGCCTTGCTTTCTTAAGTGATTTAGTCTTCTAGTTTAATATTACTTGTCGCTAAGTAATTCTAGAAACTACAGCAGTGTTGTGTGGTCTGTGGCTGTTTTTTAGACAGTGTAGAAATCTGTGATAGTGTTTTTTCCTGCATTTTGTAAGTTGGGTTTTTGATACTTTATACATTAAATATTTTATATAGTTCATCTTTGTGTTCTGCCACAACTGAGTTCGCTGATTAAAAGGTCGTATGTAGATTGGATGAGTGTTAATTACAATAGTATCACTAGCTTCCCTAGACATTAATTTCGAGCCCTAGTGGGACGTTGTGTTAAGTGTTCATCCACTTAGGCCGTAAGGTATTTGCATATGACCCCGAAAAAAGAATCCGGGGACGTTCTCCTTCTATTTGGCTGATAGATAGGTTAACGTTACAGAACACATAACCCATGTCAAAGCTGAACTAACAGCCAGCACTAGAACAGGTTATTTTTAGTCTAAAATGGATCTAATCACCCTCTTCTTTCCATCAGTGCCCAGGAAACACAAGTTGATCTTCAGAAACTTGTTTCCATTTTTCTTTCTTCTGTAATTCTCTGTGCAGTTCCCCAAGACAATATTTTTCATGCCAGCTGTTGGCTGTTCATCTGCAACTTTATTTAGACCATCTGTTTTTTAATTTCCCTCGTGGAGCTTTAATGTAGCCTATCTTGAACCTATCAAAACCTGGCAGAGAACATATATAACAGCTACATTAGAGGAAGAAAGTAACATACTGACCACATTATAGGAAAAACTATCTAATATTACCTTCATAGTTAAAAAAACATTTAAATGTATTTTTACATTGCTTTACTATCCATAAACAGTCTTGTGAAAATACAGTTAGATATCTTAAATTAGTGCTATAACTGCAGGATGTATTGAGTCACTGAACTAACACTACATTACATCCTACTATATCTGTGTGTGATTGTATTAAAACACAGAACTATCACTACATTACATCCTACTATATCTGTGTGTGGTTGTATTAATACACAGAATTAACAAAACATTACATCTTACTGTATCTGTGTGTGGTTGTATTAAAAACATAGAACTAACACTACATTACATCCTACTATATCTGTGTGTGATTGTATTAAAACACAGAACTAACACTACATTACATCCTACTATATCTGTGTGTGGTTGTATTAATACACAGAATTAACAAAACATTACATCTTACTCTATCTGTGTGTGGTTGTATTAAAGCACAGAACTAACACTACATTACATCCTACTATATATGTGTGTGGTTTTATTAAAACACAGAACCAACACTACATTACATCCTACTATATCTGTGTGTAGTTGTATTAAAACACAGAACTAACACTAGATTACATCCTACTATTCCTACAGTACCCACCTGAAACCACGCGAGGAATCGGTCTAATGCTGGAACCCTTCAGCACAGAAGTCTGGATCATGATCTGCCTGGCCTTCATTGTCATCAGCCTCGCCTTATTTTTGATTGGCCGCTTCAGCCCTTTTGAATGGTCCCGGGTCTCCAGAGAAAAAGATGTGCGTATGGCGCGGTCAAGCTTTGGGCTGAAAAACAGTTTTCTGTTTGCTGCTAGCACTCTTGGCTGGCAAGGTGAGTGGACCAGTCATAAAGTTTTTTATATTGATAAACAATTTCTGGTAATGTTATTAAATATCTATTTAATAGTTTTGCTTCTTAGTGAAATATTTCTGTTTATTAATTTGATAACATAGAGAAATTATGGAAATATTTTTAGCTGTTAGCAAATTTGAGTCACATCAGGCTATTTGCATAGTACTTCATGTAAAAACTAGTTTTATACTATTTCAGCATATTCAATTCAGTTCATCTTTCAACCCTTATTGGGGTCGTTGGGCCCAAGATAACCCACCCATAATATAAACCTTAACTTTGGCACAATTTTTCAGTTTTTCAGTAAATCAATAGCATAAATAATTCTGTAAGTCTGTAGGCTTTCTAGTTAAGCTATAAATCATCATTCAAGTGTAGAAACATCTGACTTGGCTTTTTAAAGAGTTAACCTTTGTTACATAAGCATGACTTAAATAATATTTAACAAGTTATTTAAAAAAAAAACATCCTAACCTCTGATCAGACAAAAAAACTAAATTAATCTTCAATAAGAAACTAGATCATCTTAACAAATATGAACTTACAAATATGAATTTTATCACTTTGAAAAAATATTTAACAGCTAATCACTTTAAAAACTGAATAAACTTTATATTTCTGTATGACAGGGTATCGTGAAGCTCCGCGTTCCATCTCAGGGCGCATACTCATGTGCATGTGGTTCATGTTCACCGTGTTTGTCATCGTGGCCTACACGGCGTGTCTGTGTGCTATTCTCACAACACGGGCAGAGTCGTCACCCCAACAGCTGCCTTTCTCAAACTACGAAGACATTGTGGAGAGCAAGCAAGTCAAGCTCGGAGCTGTGAGTACATATTTCTTTTTGTTTCAATTATTTCAATTTTCAACAATAATTTTGAACTATTTCATATTATTAAAATAATAAAACAGGTGTGCTTTATTTGTTTATTTAAAAAAAAAGGAAATTTAGCAGTTTTATTGATGAAAATATTTTTAGAAAAAATATCCCATATAACATATTGATATATAACAAACTAAATTTTATTAATTATGAATTTGTTTTAGTTAAAATACAATCACATCTACCGGATATTTAAAGAAAGCAAGATGGCACACAACAATATTTTTGCCCAACTTTACACGTACATTGATGACTCACAAGAGTGGATTCAACAGACCAGTGAAGGTAAAAATATTTCTAACTTTTTTGTCTGAAGATCTTTTGAAAATTTGAACCTATCTTCATCTCACAAAGCAACCAGTTTAAATTGCTTGAAACTGGTTTTGGAGTTGTTTTTTTTTTGTTGTTTTTTTGGAAATTAATATTTTGGTATAAAGCTTCACAACATAATATATAAATTATAAATGACTGAACATGTGTAAGCTTTAATTTAAATTTATAATAAACCTAAACAATAACTACTGTTTTTAGGCAAAATATTATTAAAACATTTATTACTAGTTTATATGTTTTTATTTAATGTTTTTCACAAACTTACTTAACTTCTTGCTTCTGTTTATAAAGTTTATTTAGCCATGAAGCTAAAAATTGAGGTTGTACTTTCAGGTATACAAAGGGTTAAGGATTCAGGTGGTAAATATGCAATGCTTATGGAGACAGTGAAAGCTGATTACATAACTGCTACAAACTGTGACTTGATCACATATGGAGAAAAAATATCACCTTTTGGGTAAGCTGATTAAAACAAAAAATTATGCTCATTTTATGGTAAGCTTATTATATAAGGGAAGTTAATGTATGACTAGTTTCCTATATTTTCAGCATATCTAGTAAAATCTATAGGCATTGTGAAGCCAAAAAATACGTGTTCATTAAACTTTTACAAACTCCAATTGTTCAGTTACAGTTTTACAAACTCCAAATGTATGTTGATGTATAATTGGTGTATGACATTAATTTTGTTATTTCTTGAATGAAATATATTATGAAAGAAAAGGTAGATAGCCACCCACTGATAGAAGGGGGTAGGGTATGTTGTGGGAGAGGGGGGGGGGGGAAACTGTCCTCCTTTCATTAGGAAAGTGGGATGCATAATGCAGGCTGACCTATCACAATTTGTTTGTACAAAATATTGATTTTACGATAACATATGTTAACATAAACCTCTATTGTGTTTAATTATTTTTTGTTTGTTTATAGGTATTCTTTTGCTGTAAACAAAAACTCTCCTTTATTGGAAAGAATGAATCTTGCCATTCTTGAACTTCAAGAAGACAGCTCAATAATTGATCTCTTTGACAAGTATTTTGTGAAACGACAAGTTTGCCCCAAGTACGACAAGAGCAAGCTTGTCCCCCAGAAGGGGGGCGGCACCCACAGAAAGGTCTCCAGCATGGATATGAAAGACATGGCTATCCCATTCCTCTTCCTGTTCCTGGGGGTCCTCGGTGCCGGCGGGGCTTTAGGTGCTGAGATATACTACAAGAAGTGGCTGGCGACGAGGGTGAGTACAAAGTTATACAAGTTGGGACTAAATCTTGGTGGATGAAATGATATATATAGAGTACTAGGCTATGAGGGTTAGTACAAAGTTATAAAAGTTGGGACTAAATCTTGGTGGATGAAATGACAGATATAGAGTACTAGGCTATGAGATTTAGCATATATAGAGTACTAGGCTATGAGGGTTAGTACAAAGTTATAAAAGTTGGGACAAAATCTTGGTGGATGAAATGGTATATATAAAATGGAGTACTAGGCTTTATGTAGCTACTTAATGCTTAATGTGTATGTGTGGGATCTGTCAGTTTTTTTTAGAACTTTATAAAACAAATGAATAAATTATTTTACATTTGTAATATATCAAAGTATTTGAAATTATAATATGGGGTATGTTTTTTATAAAATAGCCAAAAACTTAACTGAGAAAGTAGTTCTAGCTATTTAAAAAAAAAAAAAGAAAAAATATTGAGAATCCAGAAGTTGAACAAGTAGCCTACAGTAGAGTTTTAAAAATACTGTTTAGCTTAATAAGTTCAATAAAAAAACTCAAAGTGAAAATTATGTGTCTCACAAAAAGCAATAAATTCCATTTCAAATACATTCCATAAAAGCATACCAGTTATCAATTTTTTACTGGTGACTTCATCTCTTGTTGGTCAGGTTTTTCTTTGTTTATATTTTTCCCCCTGTTATTTAACCTTACAGTCTCATAAGGTACACACCTGCTACAGTTTAATTCTTCTTGTTACGTGTACGGATGATTACAAATTCCTATCAATCGGCAGATAAAAATTATCCTTAACCTTATCTATTTATTCACCAAGGCTGACACAGACGACAAGGCCAAGAAGCCCCTCAACACAGAAAGTGGAACAACCAAAGCCCCAAAGACAAGCCCCCCACCTCCCCCCATCTACAAAGTGAACAACAAACTCCAGGAGGAGGCGGATAAAAAAGGCACAGCTGTCGTGGTCATCACAGAAAACCCTGCAGCCGCATCCGAAGAGGAGGCGGATAGTGGAGGCAACAGCTTTGAAATGGTCCCATTGGATGATAAAGTAGAGGCAGACAGGGAAGGTGATGCTCAGCAGATAGAGGCAGGGGACAGCACTGCTGAGGTCATAAAGGGGGACAAGTCGGCAGATAAAGCAGAAGTGATAAATGAAATTGCTTAAGTTTAACTTTTTCTTTCTCATCTCTGGTAAAGGGTTAAACAGATTGCATAAAAATTATGAGCTTTTTATGAAGGAACAAAAACAAGTTTCATTTTTAAACTTGACTTAAATAATTATTTTTTAAAATTCATTTATAATTGTAATGTACAAACCATCAATTGTCATTCATTCACCATTTACATTTATTTACTTGTAATATAATCATTTTTCATTTATCATCTAGAATAAATCACTTTATTAAATCAAACTTAGGGCAACCTTATTATTCTATGTAGAAAATAATTTTTTTTAATAAATTAATGTTTTTAACAGCCTAAGAAAAAATACTATAAAATAACAAAAGTATTGTTAAGCAACAATAACCCCTTTAAATAAGCATAATTTTATGAAATTATTATTCACGTTACTTGTTCTGGCAGTTGATTTCATTTCTGATATTTCTTTTAAACACTGTGCAATTGATAACATTGTGCAATGGAATATTTTGTACATATAATTTTTTTTTATTGATAGGAAAAGTTGGATGAAGCTTTAACCTGTAACATAATTTCTTTCTTCATTTTTATTCTACTAGCAATTTTATGTTGTTCATTTTTTTAAAGTAAATTCAAATAAAAAGTAAATAGCATTAGTTAGCTGAGAAGAATTTTAAAGAAAATTATTACTTCTTTTGTTTCAGTTAATGATGACAAATTAATTACATTTTTAAGATTTTTTAAAGAAATAGCTTATACTCAGTTTATTTTAAAACATTTAAGAAGTTAACTTTTAATTTGATATATTACTTAAAAATTAATTTATAATAGTTTATAATTTTTTTTAATTAAAAGACTTACTTCAAAGAGTTAACAAAGAGGTATAAGAATTCTTTAATGAAAATAACTTCCAAATAGTAGAAAAAAGAAGAGTGTTCTATAAATATAAAAACAAGTCTGAATGAAATTTTCATGAAATGAGCCTGATGATATAAAGAAATTGTCAGACTCATTTTTTTTCCACTGTATACATTTTTTTAACATCTTGTGCATTGTTTGTTGTTGTTTAGTTTTTGTGCAACAAAAATATTCTTGTGATTTGAGCAACCAATATTTTCTTGACTTCACTATGTGTCAAACTGTACAAATTTTGTAAAATACCAAGCATTCGTCTCTGTTTGTCTCATTGTTTGCTTGTTTGTTTTTATTTTTAAATCCCGCTTTGTTTCAACTTAGTGTACGAAATTCTTATAGAATTTATTTTATACCAAATAATTTTATTCATACTATTCATATAGCAGACTTCAATTAAACCTATAGAAATTATTTTTTTACAGTAAGTTGATCTGTCGGTAGCTATAAAGGTAAAAGCTCATCTATCTAACATTGTGGAAAATATACGTTACCTTTATCATGTTTTACTTTTTCATAATTCAACTCCTCCTATAAGGCAGCATCAGGGTGCATTTGAATCCTTTTTTTTTTGTGTTAAATTTTAGAAATGAAAAACATTGTGTTTTTTTTTCTAAATACTATACTTCAATTAAAAGAACAATAACTCTATATCATCAGTGCTTTATATTTCTGGTTTTCTATTGTTAATTGACTTGGGTATAATTTAGAACATGAAAAAAACTTATTTTTAATTTTTTAAATGCAATATATGAGCACAACACCAAAACTTACACTTGCAGATTTAATCATTCGCCTTATTAAATAATTGTTTTTTAAATATTTTAAGCTATTAACTAAATAGTAAATTGTTAAAACTTTCCAAAATTGAATAGAAAACAAAGCTAACTGTTTTATTTTTTTTTTGTTAAAATTAACAAACGTAAAACACTTAACATTCTGTATTACAAATAATGTGAAATTTGAAACTTATGTTACTTTATTTGAGAGAAGTATATTTTACATGAAGTCAAATTCTTTGCCTTTTCTTATTTTTGTACTTTTTATATGTGTTCATATAAACAATGCTACATTTACTACGCATTTCAACGCCTGAAAATGGGTGCTCAATAAATACCATGTGCAAGATTTGTGCCTGGTTGTTGCTTAATGTTTGCTATAAATAAAATGTGTGTGCTTTAATTATGTGTGGACTGTCATTGTAATTAATGTAAATATTATTTTGTTTATGTTGGATTTTTTTTCCTTTATTTATACATATTTTTCATTGTAAAAATGTATTGGACCTATCGTTAAGTTATTGTATTAATAGCACATACGTTTTCAAATTTTATTTAGGTTTATATTAACATTTTAACATATCAACTTAAGGAAATTAAAATTATTGCTTTTGTTGGTCTAATTATAACAAAAAATGACAACAATACATTAAATTAAAAATATAGAAAATAAAATTTTAAATGGGCCAAACTTTAATACACTACTAAAAAAATGTTTCTTTTTGTTTGAACTCAACATTCCAGGATCTTCTTCCCTTTGCAAATTAATTTCTTAGACACAAGATTTATTAAAGCTTAATGTTCTAAACAATGAATGTAATAACTTCAGAATTGAATGGCAAAATAAAGTAAAAGAAATATACATGTGACATTTTCTTTGGCTTTTTATGTTGATATTTAGGTATTGTAAAATCTGAAAGTAACTGATGAAATAAAAATAATAAAAAATGTTTTTTCTTGATGACTTGATTTATTTACCAGTTTTAATAAAGTGAATCAGATATTTAAGTCTTGTCCTGAGTCTCTACCATAGACACACACACACTGATATATATATATATATATCTCTGATGTGAAACGTCACAAATGCTATTATTACCCCAATCATTACGCAAAGAGGGATGAAAAACGGCTGTTACTTGTTTATATACATTGATAAATAAAGCTTAATTATGTAATTAGCTATTGAAATAAGTTTATATTAAATAAAGAACGTTTTATAGTTATCTTGTGGAAGAAATAGCCATGGTAAATAAAGAAATCGAATATTTGGCTTTTTTTTAAATTATTGAATTAAACCTGAGGTTATGTTGAACTGTTGTGTTCGCCTATCGATGATGATACCTGTGTTAGTGGTCACCTAGATCTGATGTGTAGCTTAGGACTGTAGTGCACACCTAGATCTGATGTGTACTTTAGGACTGAAGTACACACCTAGATCTGATGTGTAGGCTACCTTAGGACTGAAGTACACACCTAGATCTGATGTGTAGGCTACCTTAGGACTGAAGTACACACCTAGATCTGATGTGTAGGCTACCTTAGGACTGAAGTGCACACCTAGATCTGATGTGTACCTGGGGCCAAAGCTAGATGGGTTAGGCACTACCTAGTATATATATATATATATATATATATATATATATATATATATATATATATATATATATATATATATATATATATATATAGGCAGCCCTATATATACCTATATATATATATATATATATATATATATATATATATATATATATATATATATATATATATATATATATATATATATATATATATATATATACGTAAATACATATACACGTATATGTAAGTGGGATTTATAAATATACATAATAATATATATTATATGAGATTCTTGTATATCGCTAAAATCAAATGAAAAAAGTATATTTATACAGATTCTACAAGATATATATATATATATATATATATATATATATATATATATATATATATATATATATATATATATATATATATATATATATATATATATGTCGACTTGGATCTGGTCACATCATTATCATATGACATAACCAACAGAAAATAAAGTTCTGAACCAATCACCTTAATAAAAAGTGAAATCATTCTGGACATGGGTAACTATCTCATAGATGGGGAACGTGAGAACCGTTTTCATTCAGCTTCCATAAAAAAAGCCGTTAGTAGTGTTACGTTACTTAACTCGTTTTGGAAACAGCTCAATAATTTGGTTGCAGGTTTATTAACGTAAATTCTACCAACCATCTAGAAGCAAACGCTACCTCGGAATATCTTGCCCTATTGTCCCAATAAAAGTGAATTTAACCTAATACAAATAGATTAGGTACTTATCTGTAACAAACATGTACAAAACTGCTGATCACAAATTCATTTCTATCGGCCTACAACTAGCTGGAGAAATTAGGAAACGCCTTACACTTACCTCGTATTGTAGCAAAATAACATCACTCAGAAATGAAAGTCTTCAAACAATCGTCCAGTGTTTCTTCCAGAGGGGGTCGGGGCACTTGATATTTTCGGGGTGGGTGGGCGGTCTACATTTTCAATCACTAATACGTTGAAACATAAAGTCACCATGACCACCTGGTCAAAAAATTAGAAAATCCACCAAATAACATATTACAAAACTAAAACAAAACAGAACACATATTTTTAGAATGTTAGTAAGAAAACTATGATAAACGATATAAAACATATGCACTAATGTTTAACATATTTACCAAAGTACACATAACTAGGAAATAAGAAATAGTATAAATATTGCTATAATAACATCTTTTAATGAACCAACAATAATAACGTAAATTTATTTTGCTTTGTTTACCAAAAAATTGGTCGTTTACGTGATATATTACATAATATTCTGGCCAAAGAAATATTACATTTTGACATACATACTGACGAAAGCAAGCATGAAACAAGACGTGAGGTAGACCATATAGATAACTTGTCTGCTAAATTACATGAAGGCAACAACAAAGAAGACAATGACATAAACATATAGAAACAGTGCATGCTACAAGCGACTAACCAACATAAACCAGATGTTTCCGTCTATGGTCATTGATTCAATACACATCTACGTGTTACTCATCTTTATGAAATCGCTCTCATATATCAATAGCTCATATTTTTTTTGTTAAAAAAAAAATTACAAACGTAATAAGTAGCACTACACGTATCGAAAAAAAAATATACATTGCTGTTAAAAAATGGCAGTAAACTCACACATTCTAATTGTCTTTCTTATATCACATGTTATATTGTTTTTAATTGTTATGTTATTTTATTGATTCATTTTTTTTAACGAATATGTTCCATAAAACGGTTTAAAATATTGTGTATCCATAGTTATCTATATATATAATTCTCTTCTGGGAGCCGCTAAAAAACAAGCTGTAAACGCGATCCCTACCTCCCCACCCCTACATGATCTTAGTGAGCTGTGTTCACTCTAAATGTTTACAATCAGAGCCAACGATTTTAAACGTAAGGGGGGGGGGGGGGGGGAGAGGGGGAGGAAGGAAGGGGGGGGCGGTTATGGTCCTTAACGAGCTACTTATAGTGTTTTAAAGAAATATTTTCA